TAAATAAATGTAGATTTTAATAATTTAAGTCATCTTGAACAATACAATTTTTTTAAAAACCTAGTCGTTATCCTACTTGGTCGCTGGTGGCAGTAAACGATCTTGAGGAGACATGTCAAACGGTTAGGTCCTCTACTGCCTTGCAATATTTTTGGATGGGCAAACAAAGGCTTTGGACGCAAACAAAAAAAAAATATCATTCGCGTTCAGTATGAAACGTTTAATGTCCGTCATCAGATTGTATTTGGCATCATTGGAAGAGATGATATATTTTAACAATATCATTAAACTAGCTACTGAATGATAAGTCCAACCCCCCCCCCCCCCCCCCAAAAAAAACTTCTACCGCCCCTCCCCTCCTTCCACCGAGGTAGAATTTATATGGAGAATATATAATATATACTTTTACCAGTGTCCTTCCCCCCCCCCCCCCCACACGCAGTTTTCACGTGTCTCCCTCGAAGAAAAAAGTCTGTAAGAAACACTGCTCAGAACACAGTATTAAAGTTGATAAACGCTTATGAACAGTCTTGGGACTGGAGCGGCTACACACAATATCTCTCACCTAAACGCCACTGATATTTTAGACCTGCTAAAAATAATAATTTTTTTGGCTTCTTCAATGCTGTTTATGGCATCAAAAGTTTAAACTGTTCTGGCTATCCAAGGCCGATCTTTATTTCTGCTAGCGATAGGCCTAGTCTGGGGTAGAGACTGCGTTACACTCGGTCTCAGCTTTTGGTTGTCCAAGGTCTGCGATCTCAACACAGATCTTGATCTAGACATATCTACATCTAGAAATCTAGATCTAGATCTAGAGCTAGTCTAAATATTTGATCTAAATGTCTAATTCTAGCTCTAGTTTTAGTCTTACTGCTATAGTTTAACTGCATGAACTATGAAGTCTAGTAGTAAGCCTACCAGTACCATGGAGAAATAGTAAAATAGTATACGATTTTCTCTAGATCTAGTCTAGATTCGGTAAAATCTTAGTTTAGCGTCGTAAATTCGGCCAAAACTAGTAATGTGGGAGAGAGTGAATTAATGAATATGTCATTAAATATGGGAATATTTTCGTATATTTTGATAAAGTATTATAGATAATTGAGTAATAGATCACCATTGATGGTTAAATCAATTTAAATATCCTGAAATTAATTTTTATCAACTCTGTTCGAGATAGTAAATTTGCTATTAAAAACAGCAGCCATCTTAAGAAAATGTTATTGAGAGTAGCTTCCCTTTAATTTCTATTCATATGAAAATGTATTTAAATATGATCGTCTTGTTGTGTAGTCCGTATTACAAAGCATTTTTTTTTTAAATGTGAATTTCCTAACAAACAACTTTATTAATTCTAGAAGCATTGTGAGATGCAACTTGTATCCATGTATTAATTCACGTTTTTTTACTAATGTTTATTTTATCTTACTATTACTAGATCTAGATCTAATGCGGGGCGTTAGGAATACGGCCATTAGCATGGGCCGCGTTAGAGCACCAGTAGGCTATCGCGCTTTGTAAGATGACGTAAATACTTAAATTCAATTTCGCTAAACTGCGCGAAAATTTAGTAATGTTCCATCGTTTGAGGAAATTTATTTTCTTGGACTTAAATTGAAATATCATGTTGACTGTTTGGCTCTTAATTTCCGAATATCACTTTTAATGTATCAAGATTCAGAACTATAATTTACTTTAATAAGTATCATCTTATCGTTTATTGTGGTTTTTATAAAGCGCAGAGCAGCTTCAAAATCGGACGGCCATCCTGTTTTCACCAAGCTTCTTTTGGAGCTTAATGGGTAGTCTAGTTCTATACGGTTAGAGCTTAATACATTTTTTAAAGGGCCGAAAGTTTCAAGACAGCAAGCTTGCAGAAATAACTACGTACGTTTAAATGGACGAGTGATAGATGTGTTAGGGGCCGTTTAATGAACACCAACTTATGTAATCAAATTAAACGTCGCAAAAGCGTCAAAAAGGCAGTGTTTTTTTTTTTCTATAAAATTAGCCTAACGGTCGGCGGTACCTCTACATGACGTCACGTGCGAGCGTTAACTCGGTGACGATGTGCTAAGTGGGGGAATGAAAAAGGTGGGGTTCAAGAAATGCAACTCGGCAAGCTTTTTACATTTCTTGACCCTTCTTAATAGTTCTTTCGTCCCCACTAAGAAAATGGATCACCAATGAATGACGCGTCATACTTCTACAGCTGGTCTTTCTCCCACAACCATCCCGTTTTCACGAAAAAAAAAACTGACCAGTCTCCAAAATCACATCGCTGAGTTCTATTCAACCTCTCCCCACCACAAATCACAATTTCTATCTGAAACAATATGTTCATATGTTTGCTCTGTAATAATGCACGCTGTCATTACTATCGTAAGAGCAACGTCATTTATGAGCGATCTAATATTGATTTGCTTACTGCAAATAAAGTGTTCAAAAGTTCGACCTCCCAACAATTGTTGTGGTCTTGGATGCACACTATTAAGTCTGATAAGGCCTATTAGTCATTCATGTCAACTATATTAAAAAAAAAGAAAAATTACTATACAGGGGGTCATCCATAAATGATGTCACGCTTTTTTTGACGATTTTTACCTCTCCCCTCCGTCACACGTCGTCACAAAAAGCCAGACCCCCCCCCCTAAAATGACGTCACACCTCAGCCTACAACCCCCCTCAAAATTGCAGTTGAATTGTTTTTAAACAGCTATATTTTTCCAAAATCTTGTCTGAACTCTGTCAAAATAGAGTATTTTAATCAATTGTTATTACAATGTATTAAAACAGTTTTTTTAAAACGCAAAATAACGTCTAAAATTCGTTTTCTAACATTGCTTTTTAAAAATGCAAAAGTGTGACGTCGCACCATCTGAACCCCCCCCCCCCCTCCCCCTCATCACACAACGTAACAAAATTACGGACCCCCTCCCCCCTACGAGTGTGACGTCATTTATGGACGACCCCCGGCATATATCAAAGCAATACAAAACAATCATATTAAACCACAAAGTCAACACAAAAGACATGCGAATAGACAATTTATTGTTTTTAAAACATGGCCGCTGCTTGAATTTACTCAATGTTGTCTCGAACGGAGTAGTTTAAAGTTTATTCCAGGATATTTATGTCTGGTTTGGTCTTGGATTGTGATTTGTTATTCAATTATCTGTTATATTATATAAAATATGACATAAATATGGCCAAATGAAAGAAATATTCATTAGTTACCTTCATCGCACATTACTATCTACTATCTACGTTGGAATTTACGACGCTAAACTAAGATTTTACCCTAGATTCTACTAGATCTAGCTATCTAGATTTAGTTAAATCTAGATCTAGTAGATTCTAGAACCTAGATCTGAGTCCAAAAAAATACTGTTTTAAGTTAATTTAACTAGAGTCTAGCTTCTAGATCTAGATCTAGTTTTTTTTTATCTAGATCTAGGTCTAGAATTAATATAATATAGATTCTACTCGAGGCCTTGGGCTTATAAAAATGGTTTATATTTTAAAAAGTTTTGATTATATTTATAATACAGGCCTAACCATAGACTCGATAGAGTCTAGACTTTAAACTAGATCTAAGATCTAGTCTAGATCTAGATCTAATTTGAAATTTCCTTCATGTTTTTGATAAAACGTGGATTATCATGAAGACTACTTTATTCACATTTGGCTTTGGCTCTTGAATTAGTAGAATCTGCATACAGAATTGTAGATTCTAGATCTGGTTCTACATTTAATTTCTAGCATTAAACATTAGGCCTAATGATTAATTTAAACTTGCTTTTTAACTTTAGGCCTTATGCCTAGCAGTTTAGGCGAGTTAAGAGTAAAGTAAGACTTTAACATTTTAGAAAATAATTGATTTAAAATTGCTAAGAAACTTAAAACTATTCAGTAATATATTAGTATTCTTTAAGCAAAAACCTGTTGAAAAATATTATAAATATCTAGATTTAGATCTAGTAACCTGTAGCCTAATCAATCGATAATAAAACTTAAAAATCCCAAAATAATAAAGGCTTGTTAATTATCATTTAGATTTAGTAGCTAAATTGACGCAATTGTTAAAATATGAATTAACATGATTACTATGAAAATATTTCTCTAATTAACTTTCCACACATTTCCATCTAGATCTAGATTTTCTAGATACCAACATTTCTCCCCTGTAGCCTCTTCAGGTTATACCATAACTATAAGAACCATGTTATGTTCTTCTTTAATCCTTCATGATTCATCATAAATATTGTCATTTTATAGTTCTAAGCTAATGACAGTTCAACCATAAATGTTGTCATTCTGTAGTTCTATGCTAATGACAGTTCCACCATAAATGTTGTCATTCTGTAGCTCTATGCTAATGACAGTTCCATCATAAATATTGTCATTCTGTAGTTCTATGCTAATGACAGTTCCATCATAAATGTTGTCATTCTGTAGTTCTATGCTAATGACAGTTCCATCATAAATGTCATTCTGTAGTTCTATGCTAATGACAGTTCCATCATAAATGTTGTCATTCAGTAGTTCTATGTTAATGACAGTTACATCATAAATGTTGTCATTCTGTAGTTCTATGCTAATGACAGTTCCATCATAAATGTTGTCATTCAGTAGTTCTATGTTAATGACAGTTACATCATAAATGTTGTCATTCTGTAGTTCTATGCTAATGACAGTTCCACTATAATTTTATTTCTCTCTCCAGAGCCTGAAGGATCTTCCATAGTGCTGTGTGCTATCTAATGATGTCTTAAAGTCCAGTGGGGAGTTCAAAGGTCAGTTTCACTCTTTCTTGTATGTTTGTCTACTTGGTATATTTAACCATAATCTTCTAAAACTGACCATCATGCTGTATTCTGTTTGCCATATCATTGACCAGTGGCTATTGTTATGTAGTTTGTATAGAAACACTGGTTGATGACTAGTCAAGCTACCATATAAACTTCTTTCTTTATAAAGTAAAAATATTTTCTACTATACAGAGTGACAGCTGCTGAATGTGATGTGAAGGTCAAGGTTATTTCAATCAAACAGCTGCCACAGATGACCATAAGACTACAGTAAAGGCCAGTAGAGATCTGTCACATCAAGTTACAGGTAATTTTGTTAATTATCTTTTAACTTAATCAAGTGTACAGCCATGGTTTAATGCTGATGTAGACAATGTGTCAAATCTTTGTGTTGTGGTTTATTTAACAGGAATTAACTTGGATAGTCTAGATGACCACAACAGTATGGCCAGTGGAGAGGATAGTCTAGATGACCACAACAGTATGGCCAGTGTAGAGGATAGTCTAGATGACCACAACAGTATGGCCAGTGGAGAGGATAGTCTAGATGACCACAACAGTATGGCCAGTGGAGAGGATTTATCAAAATATTTTACAGGTAATGTCCATTTGTTTGGAGAAAATTGGTCTTAAAAAAGGTAATTTCCTGTATGCTTACAATGTCTTGTGCTGATGAAGACCTTATGTTGGAACATTCTGTAGTTTGAAATGTTGACTGGATGAGTCTCTTAAGATGGTGATGGTTGTGACAGTTGGAGGTTGTAGATAGTTTCCTTGTTTTATGTTAGTCAAAGTTATACAGCGAATGAAATGTTTACAGTAATAAAACTGTCTTGTTTACCTGTACAGGTACACATGAAGTACAAGAATGTCTTGAAGGTCAAGGTGAGGTAGATCTACACACACACCTGGCAAACTGTGAGAAAAATCCTGGCCATACAAACTTTGTACCTGTAAATCAGTTAAGTCTTGAACATTTACCTTCTGGTTACCATGACAACGACCTGTATGACCTCACAAAAGCCCTGGCTGACATAACTGTCAGGATAGCCGTTAAGTTGACCAGTCCAGACAGACCAGAGTTTGTACCAGGCACTAAAGATCCATATCCTTGCTACAACATCAGGGGACAGAACTTACTGAGGACAGGGACTGGGAGGGTGTGGGAGGTGATCAAGTACACAGAGGGGATGTGGGGCTACAGAACTTGTCCATGTCCTGAATGTGACCACTCGGACACACCCAGCAAAGTGTGGTGGAAGGTTGAGGTGGTGACAGCCAGACATGTGGTTTTTGATTCAAGTGAGGCGAGACAGTCCAGCTGTAGGTTGTGGTTTGATGATGATAAAAGTCCAGTGGTCAAGATTTATGGGTGGGAGGTGGGTGTGTCAGACACTGAGGGAGACGGGTGTGTGTTGTGTTGTGTGACACATGACGTAGATGTAGCTGGTAAACTGGAGGAGATGGTGAGGGGGTTTGATGGTCTATGTGATAAAGTAAGGGACAAATACAAGAGACGTAGAGATGTGGACAAGCTGACCATTATAGTGTCACATCCTCATGGCTGTTCTAAGCAGGTCTCTGTAGGTCACTGGGTGGACAGGCAGAAGGTGGGTAGACAGACCAGGTACACGTACACAACGTCCACCTGTCCTGGTAGCAGTGGGGCTTGGATCTACAGACTGGGGTGTGGCTGGTCTTACCATCCCCACAGTGGAGCTAAGTCTGGTGGATTAAATTATAGTGGGATGTGGTGGGACTAAGACTTGTAGTTGTCTGCTCTTGTATAGAATGTAAACAAACATGGCGCCTGTTGGATGTCTGTCTTTTCTAGAATGTAAACAAACATGGCGCCTGTTGGATGTCTGTCTTTTCTAGAATGTAAACAAACATGGCGCCTGTTGAATGTCTATCTTTTCTAGAATGTAAACAAACATGGCGTCTGTTGGATGTCTGTCTTTTCTAGAATGTAAACAAACATGGCGCCTGTTGGATGTCTGTCTTTTCTAGAATGTAAACAAACATGGCGCCTGTTGAATGTCTGTCTTTTCTAGAATGTAAACAAACATGGCGCCTGTTGAATGTCTATCTTTTCTAGAATGTAAACAAACATGGCGTCTGTTGGATGTCTGTCTTTTCTAGAATGTAAACAAACATGGCGCCTGTTGGATGTCTGTCTTTTCTAGAACGTAAACAAACATGGCGCCTGTTGGATGTCTGTCTTTTCTAAAATGAAAACAAACATAGCGCCTGTTGGATGTCTGTCTTTTGTAGAATGTAAACAAACATGGCGTCTGTTGGATGTCTGCTCTTAAAATATTTCTTGACATTATTGTAGAGCTTTATTAAACTTTTAATTAATTATCTCGTTATTTTTATCAGAGAAAAAGTTGTTGATTGTTTGATTGGGAGTAAAGGAATAAAAATGTCACAAATTTTGTTGTAAATATAAACGTAAATAAAGTTTTAAATCAACTCGTTTTCTTTCTCATTTTTGTTTGTGCTTGCATTTTGTATGAAGCTACTCTCAATATTGACGCTAAAGTCTGGATCTAGCGACTCAATATTGACGCTAAAGTCTGGATCTAGCGACTCAATATTGACGCTAAAGTCTGGATCTAGCGACTCAATATTGACGCTAAAGTCTGGATCTAGCGACTCAGTATTGACGTTAAAGTTGGGATCTAGCGACTCTCAATATTGACGCTAAAGTTTGGATCTAGCGACTCTCAATATTGACGCTAAAGTCTGGATCTAGCAACTCAATATTGACGCTAAAGTCTGGATCTAGCGACTCAATATTGACGCTAAAGTCTGGATCTAGCGACTCAGTATTGACGTTAAAGTTTGGATCTAGCGACTCTCAATATTGACGCTAAAGTTTGGATCTAGCGACTCTCAATATTGACGCTAAAGTTTGGATCTAGCGACTCTCAATATTGACGCTAAAGTTGGGATCTAGCGACTCTCAATATTGACGCTAAAGTCTGGATCTAGCGACTCAATATTGACGCTAAAGTTGGGATCTAGCGACTCTCAATATTGACGTTAAAGTTTGGATCTAGCGACTCTCAATATTGACGCTAAAGTTTGGATCTAGCGACTCTCAATATTGACGCTAAAGTTTGGATCTAGCGACTCAATATTGACGCCAAAGTTTGAATCTAGCGACTCTCAATATTGACGCTAAAGTTTGGATCTAGCGACTCTCAATATTGACGCTAAAGATTGGATCTAGCGACTTAATATTGACGCTAAAGTTTGCATTAGCGGTTCTCAAAATTGATGCAAGTTTGGATCTAGCGACTCTGAATATTGACGCTAAATTTAGATCTAGCGACTCAATATTGACGCTAAAGTTTAGATCTAGAGACTCTCAATATTGACGCTAAAGTTTGGATCTAGCGACTCTCAATATTGACGCTATAGTTTGGATCTAGCGACTTAATATTGACGCTAAAGTTTGGATCTAGCGACTCTCAATATTGTCGCTAAAGTTTGGATCTAGCGACTCTCGATATTGACGCTAAAGTTTGGATCTAGCGACTTAATATTAATGCTAAAGGTTGCATTAGCGATTCTCAAAATTGATGCTAGTTTGGATCTAGCGACTCTGAATATTGACGCTAAATTTAGATCTAGCGACTCTAAATATTGACGCTAAAGTTTGGATCTAGCGACTCTCAATATTGACGCTAAAGTTTGGATCTAGCGACTCTCAATATTGTCGCTAAAGTTGGGATTTAGCGACTCTCAATATTAACGCTAAACTTTGGATCTAGCGACTCTCAAAACTGACGTTAAAATTTGTCAGGAAACAGAAACTCTACTTCATCTTCCCCATAGATCTTAAGATCTAGGCTTCCTTACTGTACTTGACTTACGTTGACAATTTAACACTTAAGTCATGATCGATACCTTGAAATGACTGTACACGACTTAACAATCTATCAATTAATAATTAAAAGCTAATGAAAATGTGTTAAATTTCACATATTTTCGTTGTTTCTATAGCAACTTGTTAGATCCTGCCAGTTTGGTCTATAAAGTAAATTATAGGAAGAATTGGATAGACAAAAAGCAATGAACATTTTTATGGTGTCTGCTATAAAATAGACATAAACGTAGGATCCAACTAGGAGGGATAAAAGAATGAGGTTTGATGGTCAAAGGGAAATAACAATTAAAAAAGAAAAATATTTAAGAAACATGAATTATGTACCTTTAAAATTTTTTAGCTAGTGTCCATGTAATATTTATTTTATATTTGTCACACAAAGTCAGATATGTAATTATTTTAGTGAAACCGATGATCGTTGTAAATACAATGTTTGTATTTGTTACAAGGCAGTTTTTACATTGAGTGTCAAGATTCAAAATTTGTAAATACCTAATTGCTCAATTAAATTAATGAAAATTGAATGTCCTAGCTTTATACGGGCGATAAAATAAACGTACACAAACACTAGACTGTTCTGTTACCCTGCATACAGATTAATGATATCTTAAAGTTTCAGTATTGCGTCTGTTACCTAGCATACAGATTAATGATATGCGGTTGGTAGGTATCCTTAAATCCAATATAGCATGTTATGAGGTACCTGCCATTCTTCAATTTCCTTTCCTTCAGCATTGAGGTCAGAGTTACCCCAGCATTGAGGTCAGTGTTACCCCAGCATTGAGGTCAGTGTTACCCCACCATTGAGGTCAGGGTTACCCCAGCATTGAGGTCAGGGTTACCCCACCATTGAGGTCAGGGTTACCCCAGCATTGAGGTCAGTGTTACCCCACCATTGAGGTCAGGGTTACCCCAGCATCGAGGTCAGGGTTACCCCAGCATTGAGGTCAGGGTTACCCCAGCATTGAGGTCGGGGTTACCCCAGCATTGAGGTCAGGGTTACCCCAGCATTGAGGTCAGGGTTACCCCAGCATTGAGGTCAGGGTTACCCCAGCATTGAGGTCAGGGTTACCCCAAGCATTGAGGTCAGGGTTACCCCAGCATTGAGGTCAAATTTACCCCAGCTCTGAGAGTGTCTGTTCATGTCTTCCACATACAGGCAATCGTTGATGTTTGGTAGAGAGATGCGGTCCAGTGGAGCGAAGCGATAGAATACATTTATGTTACATTCTGTGAGTGTGTTTAGTACCCATTATCTCACATGTTGTGTTAGTATAACGATATCTGTTGTTGGTATGTCATTTTTTTATGAGGGAAGAATTAACCTTCTTTTCCTTGCCCATGGCTTCACAAGCAAGAATAGAGGAACCACCAGCTCGCCTTTATGGGCACCTACGAGGTGGAGAGACCGGCCCCCTACCTGCGAGGTGTAGAGCCCGGCCCCCTACCTGCGAGGTGGAGAGCCCGGCCCCCTACCTGCGAGGTGGAGAGCCCGGCCCCCTACCTGCGAGGCGGAGAGCCCGTCCCCCTACCTGCGAGGTGGAGAGCCCGCCCCCTACCTGCGAGGTGGAGAGCCCGTCCCCCTACCTGCGAGGTGTAGAGCCCGTGCCCTACCTGTGAGGTGGAGAGCCCGCCCCCTACCTGCGAGGTGGAGAGCCTGCCCCCTACCTGCGAGGTGGAGAGCCCGGTCCCCTACCTGCGAGGTGGAGAGCCCGGTCCCCTACCTGCGAGGTGGAGAGCCCGGTCCCCTACCTACGAGGTGGAGAGCCCGCCCCCTACCTGCGAGGTGGAGAGCCCGTCCCACTACCTGCGAGGTGGAGAGCCCGCCCCCTACCTGCGAGGTGGAGAGCCCGGTCCCCTACCTACGAGGTGTAGAGCCCGTCCCCCTACCTGTGAGGTGGAGAGCCCGCCCCCTACCTGCGAGGTGGAGAGCCTGCCCCCTACCTGCGAGGTGGAGAGCCCAGTCCCCTAACTGCGAGGTGGAGAACCCGCCCCCTACCTGCGAGGTGGAGAGCTGCCCCCTACCTGCGAGGTGGAGAGCCCGGTCCCCTACCTACGAGGTGTAGAGCCCGTCCCCCTACCTGCGAGGTGGAGAGCCCGGCCCCCTACCTGCGAGGTGTAGAGCCCGGCCCCTTCCTGTGAGGTGGAGAGCCCGGCCCCTACCTGTGAGGTGGAGAGCCCGTCCCCTACCTGCTGCTGGATACCACAGGCAGGACGCCACATCTGTTTGTATTATTGCTTTCCTCCATCCCAATTAAGCAAAGCGTTGAATTATAGCTAGCTGACTACAAAAGCATTATATCTGGCTGTCTACAGTTAAATTGAAGCTAGCTGACTACGGTAGAATATCACAGCAATAAATCTGCCAGCATCACATATCCACTTACGTACAACTCTGATGGTCCCACATTACCAATACAAACTGAGCGAGGTTAACACAAGGCCGAGTGTGTTGCTTACAGGAGACAGTCCATTGTATTTTAAATAATAACAACTTTATTGTCTATGGGAGACAATCCATGTTTTCTCTTTAACACACACCTTTTATCTTTATGGGAGACAACTTATGCATATTTGTTTTCTTTAATAATCTAGCTTTGTCTCCCCTACTATCTAAGATACCTTAAATAATGTATATGTGTTATAAGGTGAGCTCGGGTACCAAGCCTTCTCTTTAAACCATTGTTTATATGCTGCTAATGAATACGTCAAATCCTAACAATCAAGATTTTTTGTTGACTTGAGTTAACAAACTTAACAGCTCCCTGACTCAATAACATGATAATGATTTCTATTAATATAAGTGTTCATCGCGTAACATTGTGGTTGCAAGTAATCAATTACATTACTGTTGCTAAAGCACATTCATCTTTCTTTAAATGTGTTTGGTTATTTTAAAGTACTGGACGAACAACGCTGTTTTTCTAATAAGAAAAAGTAAGCTAAGTAGGATTTCATAATAAACAATTCAACAGCCTTAAAAGAATACAAGAGTTCATGTATCAAATATAAATGACAATAGAAGCACGAGAGAAAATAATTAAATTTAAACAGATCTAAATGAAGAATGATAGGCAAACGCACAAGGAATAGTCGACAAAACTTTGGCAAATGCGCTATCTAGGTAGTAATAAATATTCAGGACACTAGATAAAATACGAATGCCTTTTTTGAGCGGAGTAGTGCGTTCTACCGGTCGTTGTGTGTATTTAATGTGGAGAAACCAGGACAATAAATTCTTTTGACAAGCAGGTTCAGAGCAGGACAGTTTACTGCAAGAGCGACAGAAAGGTATTTGTCTCTTTTTTTAGTTTGATTATATGTAAGGTAGACATATTTTCTAGTTCGGAGGAAGTATTGTAATCGTGCAAAACGATATATTTTGAAATTAAGACGAATGTTAACGTTTCACAACCTTCCGGAGCCGGAAAAACAGTTTTGTAATCATTTTTGTCTGTGTGTTTGTATTTGAACACGACTACTTGATTAACAGTTTGGTTGACGAAATTCCTATATAAGTATTATATTACATTTGTAGTTTTTTATCAACTTTTGCGCGATTGAATGTAACCCGTTGTGGAGA